TCAAATTATTTTAATCCAAATAATTATCATTGTAATATATTTAAAATTAAACTAAATAAGATGTTACTTCGAAATTAATTTCAATTAATTTTTTTTTTGTATTTTTTATTCCTTTGCAAGCTCTGGCTATTACCATTTATTTTCATATTGATTTTAGTAAATTTCTCAAGGAAAATTTTGTCTTATAAAGCTTTATTTGAGAAGAAACCTCATTAATTAATTTTATAATATTTTTTTCTAATTATCTCATATATATTAAATATTATTCATAATTCCTCGCATTTTCTAATTTGTATTTCTTTTGATTTCTAATCCCAAGTGATTAAATATTCGCCATCATTACTTAATTAACCAAAAATATGAGATGATCAAATTGAATAGTTTATTCAGTCACAAAATCTCCGTTTTCTAACTTTCTTATTAAGTTGATATGGTATCCATTTTTATTCACTAAAAGACATTTACATTTTGAATATTATTATGAAAATTGATTAATACAACAAAGTGAACCAGATTTTACAGTAATTTGCTTGGACTTAAAAAATTATTGATTTCTACTATTTATCTAATATACATGCATTTATTCTTGAATATAAGGTTAAAATGTGAATTAATTATCATTTATAAAACTTAATCGACGTCCATGTTATTCTACTTTTATCTTTTAAATCACATTCCATTTCTAATCATTCTAAGAATATTCAATTATATTTAAAACTTAATGAATAGACATAATTAGTATGATCTTTAATGTTATATTAACACAACCATCCATTTTATTTATTCCAAAATTTAATAGATGAATCATAACTGCCTGAGATAATAAAATTTTCATTATTATTCAATAATAAACTACCAATAGCATCAGAATGTCCATCCAATTTTTGTTAGCATTTCCATTAATTATTCTGATTCATGTACTATATTATAATTGACTTATCTGTACTTCCAGATACAAAATGATTTGATTTCTTCATAAAGTTTAATGTTAAAACATCTTGTTAATGATAACTTAAAGCTATGATTCATTTAATTTTCCTTATTTGAGATCAAATACTTTAATTTACATGCCACACCCTGCTAAAACAATTGAGTTATCTTTATTAATCGCGATTGCATAACAACCAACTTCTTATTTTATAGTATTTTAATTCATCAATTCAAAAGTGAATGGTCTTAGATTTGGTTTTATGAGATTTGGATTTATTTATTATTCAAAAATCTATTCTTTGATCTCAAAAGGTTTTAATATTTATAAATTATCTGTTTAGTTCAAATTTGTTTATTTTTTTTGGTTTTCCAAAATTTCTTTAACTATTTATTTAATTTATTCGATAGATTATAGGAACTAGTTAAGTAAAGTTTTCTCCCATAACTCAATTAAATTTAAACCTTTAATTAATTAGTCAATCTATGAAAGTCCTAATTTAGGTAACTATACCAAATTAATATTGTATAAATTAATAAATTTATTTAGTTGACTATCAAGGGCTAATTTGCACTCCTATGCCTTTTATTCAACATTCTGGGCAATAAGTACTCTTTTACGAATCCAATCATCTAAAAGTTCTAATGAATGTTAACTTGTTCAAGTGTTGACCATGACTAGCCAGGCAAAAATTACAATAAGTTCTTTGCTATTGGCATTAACTATCGATGCAAACTCCAATTATTTGTTAATTTAAATGATCAGCTTAAGTACATCTCATTAAAATTTTCTTTTTCTATCAAAAATTATAATTAATAAATAAAAAATCATTTGTGATTTAAAACCTCAAAATTAGAACATCTTAATCATAAACTGTTTTTAGAAGCAAAAAAAAATGAGAACTTCATAAAAATTGAATGAATAACTTTATTATTACATAACCAAATATTGGATTTTTATCATAGGTATTTTAAATATGAAAAATCTGAATATCATTTTCTTTTCTAGAATAAATTTAACATGAAATAACTAAAATTTATTTAGTCATCTTCTTTAAAAGGCTTCGGATTAAATTAAGAATATTTAGAATACTTCTAATATGAAAAGGAAATGCTCATATATAGGAAATAAACTATTATTGAATGATGAAAATAATTTATGTTTGTTTAGTTTATTAACCTAAAATTACAATAGTACTAATACTCCCTCATTTTCATCGAATATTTATTTGGAATTCTTAAAATAAAGTCTTAAGTATAAAACCTTTAAATGACTAAAAAATTATAATAATGTATTTCAAAATCTTAAAGTACCTAGAAATGATTAGAAAATGAATATTATACTTTAGTTTAAGAGGGGATTAATGA